GAATACAAAAAAAAAAAAAACTTAGCCCAGGCGCGGAGGGAGGTGGCTGGTGCGCTGCCCTGCTAGTCCCAGGCTACTCGGAGGCTGAGGTGGAGGGGAGAATGGCAGTGAACTCAGAGGCGGAGCTTGCGAGTGAAGGGCCGAGATCGCACCATCTGCACTCCAGCGCCGTGAGGAGACGACAGCCGAGACTCCGTCTCCCGCAGAAACAAAGAGAGAAAGGGCTAAAAATATGGATGTAGTTGCTCTCCCGTGCTAAAGCAGTGAAGCATAGTGCCCCTGGGGGTATACAGGAGGAAGTGCGTTTGAGGGGGTAATAGGCTAGCGGCGGTATAGGAGGGGTAGACGGAGTAGTGGGACAGTAGACAACTAATGTTTTTGTTCACATTTGGCTCAGGTGTCTCGTGGCCGTATTATGACATTTCGAACTTGTGGTCCTCAAGCTTTTGCTGGGTGCGTGATGCGGGGCAAAACTATGGCCAAAGTTAATTCAGTTTTTAGACGTGAAGACGTGCAGGCTGAGCTTAGCGGTACTGAGGAGCGCTGAGAGGAGGCGTGCCAGTCTTGCTCTGTTGCCCAGGCTGGAGTGCAATGGTGCAATCTCGGCTCACTGCAACCTCTGCCTCCCAGGTTCAAGCGATTCTCCTACCTCAGCCCCCTGAGTAGCTAGGACTACAGGTGCCTGCCACCACACCCGGCTAATTTTTTGTATTTTTAGAAGAGGCGGGGTTTCACCGTGTTAGCCAGAACAGTCTCCATCTCCTGACCTTGTGATTCGCCTGCCTTGGCCTCCCAAAGTGCTGGGATTACAGGTGTGAGCCGCCGCACCCAGCCCATGCCTGGCTAATTAAAAAAAATTTTGTAAAGTCTGGGTCTCATTAGATTGCCCAGGCTGGTCTCGAACTGCTGGGCTCAAGAGATCCACGTGCCTTGGACTTCTCAAGTGCTAGGATTACAGGCATGAGCCACCACACCCAGCCAGAATTCCTGTTTTTAAATGCTACCTCTTTTTTTTTTTAATTTTTTTTTTTGAGATGGAGTCTCGCTCTGTCACCAGGCTGGAATGCAGTAGCATGATCTCAGCTCACTGCAACCTCCACCTCCCAGATTTAAGTGATTCTTCTGCCACGGCCTCCTGAGTAGCTGGGACTACAGGCGTGTGCCACCATGCCCAGCTAATTTTTGTATTTTTAGTAGAAATGGGGTTTCACCATGTTGTCCAGGATGGTCTCAATTTCTTGACCTCGTGATCCGCCTGCTTTGGCCTCCCAAAGTATTGGGATTACAGGCATGAGCCACCGCGCCCAGCCTCTTTTTTTTTTTTTTTTTTTAAATAATAAAAAAAATTCACCCTATGCATGTTTGTCAGACCCGAGGGCCTCATTTATCCTGGTCAAGGGGAGTGCTAACTTTCTCTCCTTTCAGACAACACTTTAAAGGCCACCTCTTCTCTGGAGCCTTGCCTTCCCACCCTCTCCCCTTAGCCAGGGGTGTAGTCACATCCTTTGGACACTTGAAGCACTATGGGTCTTATATTCTGTCTTATATCATCTTATTCACTTACTTTACAACCCAAGATCCTCATAAGTTCTTATTTTATTTAATTTACTTATTTTTAAAGATGGGACCTTGTTCTGTTGCCCAGGCTGAAGTACAGTAGCATGTTCATAGCTCACTTCAGCCTCGAACTCCTGGCCTCAAGTGATCCTTCCACCTTAATCTCCCAAGTAGCTGGTATTACAGGGGCACGCCACCTTGCCAGGCATTTTAATTTTTTTGTGTGTATGTAGAGATGGGGTCCCACTATGCTCATAAACTGTTTATGGTCTAATCCTTATTAACCTCTCAAGCCTCATCTCTCACTTCTCTATCTGTCCCCACCCTAACTCAGCCTTACTGAACCAAATGCATCTCCAGGAACACACCATGCTCTCCTGCCTTTATATACTCCTCTGCCGAGAAGTTGGCTCGCATCCAACTTCTCATCCTTCAAGATTTGGTTCAAATACCTTCTTACAGAAGCCTTCCCTGAGCCTCCAGGCTAGATTAGATGCTTCATTTGATTTCCCATGGTCCTTGGGCTTTTTTCCACATTATTTAATTTTAATATTTAATATTCTGACAAGCATTTCTTTACTTGTTAAAGTATGTATTATTTGGAACACTTTAGTGACTTACCATGAATCCCAGCATAGGGACCAGAATCCTTAACATAGCTTATGTGGTCTTTTGTGACTACTTCTCAAACATAATTTCTGGACTTTTTTTTACCCCCAACCATTCTGGCTTTCTTTCACTTTCTGGAATGTTGTTCTCTATGCCTAGAATACTTCTCCTTACTTTACCTAGTTTTACCTACTTATCTTTCAGGTTCAGTTTAAATGGTACTTGCTGATGGAAGGCTTTACTGATCCCCCACACTAGGGGATTTTATGTATATAAAATCCTCATATACATTTTCATGTATTTGGGTACTTCTCATTTATATCATTTATCACAATTATAAGGGTCATTTGTCTGAATTTTTTTTTTTTTTTTTTTTGAGACAGACTTTCACTCTGTCATCCAGGATGGAGTGCAGTGATGCAATCTCAGTTCACTGCAACCTGTGCCTGCTGGGTTCAAGTGATTCTCCTGCCTCAGCCTCCTGAGTAGTTGGAACTACAGGCACGTGCCACCATGCCAGGCTACTTTTTGTATTTTTTTACTAGAAAGGGGGTTTCACCATGTTGGCCAGGCTGGTCTTGAACTCCTGACCTCAAGTGATACACCCGCCTCGGCCTCCCAAAGTGCTGGGATTACAGGTGTGAGCCACCATGCCTGGCCTTGTCTGACTTGTTTTTGTGCTTGTTTCTCCTACAGGAGTGTATGCTCCCTTTGTTAGTCAAAAAATATTTCTTGAGTTCCTGCTATGTGTCAGGAACTGTGCCAGGTGATGTTATGGTGAAAAAATTCACATTATTCCTGCCCTCATGAAACTTTTAGTTGAGTGGAGCAGTCGGGCTATGTTTATCTTGCTTACTTTTGAATCCCTAGACCCTTAGGCCTAGCACTTAGTGGGCTCTCACTAGATCTGTATGGAAGAGAGCTGGGTGCAAAAAGCAAATTGGTACTTAAGGATTCTAACCATTCTTCGTATTTATGGAGGCATGAAGAAATTTCTCTTGGGATGTCTGAAGGGCTATCTTGGGAGGACTCTGGTGCCTGTGTTCCTCTCTCCTTACTTCCCAATCCCTTTGTTTCCTAGGTTTACTGAGGCAGCTGTTGAAGTATGATCTCTTTGTGTCCATGATCATGAACAAGGATGAACTGGGAGAAAGTGCTAAGAATATCGAAGGGTCATCAGGAGATACCTCACTGCCTTTGGTGCTCAAAAAGGTAATTGTCTTGTGATTCTTGGTCTCTAGGTTCAATAACAAGGGGACTCAAGTGCTTCTTGGGCCTCATCTTCATCTACCACTCCTATCTCAGGTTTCCAAGTGTTTTCTTACTGCGCAAAACAATATACTGGCTGGGGGCGGTGGCTCATGTCTGTAGTCCCAGCACTTTGGGAGGCCTAGGTCGGTGGATTGCTTGAGCCCAGGAGTGCAAGACCAGCTTGGGCAACATGGCAAAACCCTGTCTCTATAAAAAATACAAAAAACTTGGGCGTGGTGGCTCATGCCTGTAATCCCAGCACTTTGGGAGGCCAAGGCTGGTGGATCACAAGGTCAAGAGATCGAGACCATCCTGGCCCACATAGTGAAACCCCGTCTCTATTAAAAATACAAAAATTAGCTGGGCATGGTGGCATGCGCCTGTAGTTTCAGCTACTCGGGAGACTGAGGCAGGAGAATCCCTTGAACCTGGGAGGTGGAGGTTGCAGTAAGCCAAGACCACGCCATTGCACTCCAGCCTGGTGACAAAGCGAGACTCCGTCTCAAGAAAAAAAAAAAAAAAAAAATTAGCTTGGGCCATGGTGGTGGCGCACCTGTAATCCCAGCTACTCAGGAGGCTGAGGTGGGGAGGATTAGCTCGAAACCCCAGGAGGCGGGTTCAGTGAACCACGATCATCCACTACCACTGCCACCCTGGGTGATAGAAAGTAGGTTTCCTTTCATTTGTAAATTGCTTTTTTTTTTTTTTTTTTTTTTGAGACGAGTCTCGCCTCTGTCGCCCAGGCTGGAGTGCGTGGCCGGATCTCAGCTCACTGCAAGCTCCGCCTCCCGGGTCACGCCATTCTCCGGGCCTCAGCCTCCCCAGTAGCTGGGACTACAGGCGCCCGCCACCCTCGCCGGCTAGTTTTTTTGTATTTCTTAATAGAGGAGCGGGGTTCACCGTATTAGCCAGGATGGTCTACGATCTCCTGACCTCGTGATCCGCCCGTCTCGGCCTCCCAAAGTGCTGGGATTACAGGCTTGAGCCACCGCGCCCGGCCAATTCTTTTTTTTTTTAAGTGTCGAGGTCTTACTCTATCCACTCAGGCTGGAATGTAGTGGCACAGTCACAGCTCACTGCAGCCTCAGCCTCCTGGGCTCAAGCGATCCTCTTGTCTCAGCTTCCTGAGTAGTTGAGACTACAGGTGTTTGCCGTGAGGCGTGGCTAATTTTTAATTTTTTGTAGAGACAGGATCTTTCTGTGTTGTCTGGGCTGGTCTCAACTCCTGGGCTCAAGTGATCCTCCCACCTTGGCCTCCAAAGTTCTGGGATTACAGGTATGAGCCACTGCACCCAGCCTCAGTTGTAAATTCTTCTTTTTTTTTTGAGATGGAGTCTCGCTCTGTCGCCCAGGCCCAGGCTGGTGTGCAGTGGCGTGATCTTGGCTCACTACAACCTCCGCCTCCCAGGCTCAAGCAATTCTCCTGCCTCAGCCTCCTGAGTAGTTGGGATTACAGGCGCCAAGCCACCACGCCCGGGTAATTTTTTGCATTTTTAGAAGAGACGGGGCTTCACCATGCTGGCCAGGCTGGTCTCGAACTCCTGACCTTGTGATCTGCCTGCCTCGGCCTCCCAAAATGCTGGGATTACAGGCATGAGCCCCCATGCCTGGCCATAAATTCTTACCTCTACACTTCCCCTTCACATCTGGGCTGCCTGAAAATGGAGAATACTTACAGCAATAGAAACAAAGTCACCTCAGTTGCTTTAGGGATCAGCTTCTGAGCTTGGTACTGAGAACCCTCTTTATCTGGATCCTGCTCATCCCTTCAGCCTCACTTTCCTGTCTCTTCTACCCCATGTGTGCTCCAGCCACATGCAATCTTTCCGTAGTCCTGCATATGCTAGGTAATCCTGTCTCAGTGCCTGTGCAGTTGCTCTTCCTCTGTCTATAGGGCCTTTCTCCTCTCTTTATCTGCTAATCTGAGTCAGCCTTCAAGCCTATAGGGCTCCCTGTCACCCTGGCTCCTTTAGGCAGAATGTGACCCACTGTCACAGTGCTTACCTTATACCGTATTGTGGTTGACTGGCTGGGAGCTCCTTCAGGGCAAAACCTGAGTCTGGCATCTTTCCCCAGTGCTCAGCACAGGGACTCGCAGAGCTGCAAACCCTCATGTGATAGCAGGGGTTCATTGCCCAAACTCTGGGGCTCTTTCTGCAGCAAGGAAGAGGAGAAGGAGCTCTGGTTAGAAGTGAGAAGGGAGGCCGGGTGCAGTGGCTTATGCCTGTAATCCCAGCACTTTGGGAGGCCGAGACGGGTGGATCATGAGGTCAGGAGTATGAGACCAGCCTGGCCAACATGGTGAAACTGTCTCTACTAAAAATACAAAAATTAGCTGGGCATGGTGGCATGTGCCTGTAATCCCAGCTATTCGGGAGGCTGAGGCAGGAGAATATAGTAAGAAAAGGTTTGTCCTGAGACTATAGCAAGAAAAGAAAAGAACTGACTTCTAAAGAAAATAGTTTAGTCCATTTCAGAGTTTAAATGTCACTCATCAAGTATAATGAGCTAGGATCAGCTTTCTGACTTAGGAATCATACATGTATTCCGTAAGTTTTAGTGCAGTTTTAAGCTGTAATAACTAACTTAAAAGCAGTTACTGTTGCCATTTTCAAACATAGGTACATAAACAACAACAGGGAAACCTAAAAATGTGTTATCAAGTCACAAAATTGAAGTGTAATGAAATTTAACCAATTAAACTTCAAAAAAAGAATATTTTAAACCAAGAATCATTGTTTTAATGGATACATATCATATTTCTTTGATTCTGAGATACATTTTTTTCACATTTTAACTGCTCTGAAATTGGGAGACATTTTACCATCAATGGTGCATCATAGTTTAATTGGTAGCACTTTTTCTTTCTTAGTGGTACATAAAATAATGGCTCGTCTTACATCACTAGCATCTTAAAATAAAATACAGTATGTCATTTATTTTATAAAAGGGAACAAGATAAATATTACTTTCTAAACTCCTTTATATACTATCAGAAAATCTGGCTTTTTTTTTTTTCTTTTCCTGACAAACAGGGAGTCTGTTTATATGTCCACTTGTAAGTCCAATATGGCTGAGAAGGGGGTAAGCTTTCAGTCCTCAGATGTCTCTTTACTAGACATGAATAGGCTCATGTCTACTTGGTCCTTTTTCTTAAAAGCTGTAAAACCAGGCATGCCCTCCATTCTTCTGGTGATGTATATTCTGTTTGGCACTATTCTCCCCCCAAATCAGCTACTATGATACTTAAAATCTGTGGTTGCAGTTAACGCTTTTTTGATTTCTGAAAGTGTTAGAGGCATCCTTAATAGCTATGGTGACCGGTAGGAGTTTGCATATTATTCAGAGTGCAATGGAAATTCACTGAGATGTTTGGAGTAGCAAATATACCTGATCTAAAAATTCTGATGGGGGAGGCATCACAGTTGTGGGAAGACTCCTAGATTTGGACTTGACTGACCTGAGTTTGCACCTTAGCTTTGCCACTTATCAGCTGTGTAGCCTAGAGTAAGTAACCTAACCTTGCTAAAGGTGCCCAAGACTACCTCCAGGTTTGATGATTTGCTAGGAGGACTCATAGGACTCAACATCTAGTCATACTCATAGCTATGATTTACAGCAGTGTAAGGAAAGCAATATCAGCAAAAGGAAAGGTTCATGGGGCAAAGTCTGGTGGAACCAGCACAAGCTTCCAGAGTCCTCTCCCGGTGGGGTCACATGGGATGCACTTCTTAATTTCCCCAGGAATGAACTGTGACATGTGAAACCTTACCTACTGAAGAAGCTCATCAGAGCCTTAGCACCCCAGGTTTTTATGGGGGACTGGCTGTTCATGTAGGTATCCTCTGCTGAGCATATACCAAAATTCCAGACTCCCAGAAGGAAAACAGGTGTTCAGCATAAACTACAGTTGTCCCTTGTATACACGGGAGATTGGTTGCAGGACTGCCAGCATATACGCAGACCACATATGCTCATGTCCTACAGTCAGCCCTGGCAAACCCCAGTAAGCTGGCTTTCTGCATATGCCAGTTTCACATCTAGTGAATACTGCATTTTCCATCAGCGTTCAGTTGAAAAAAGGCCGCATATAAGTAGAACCATACAGTTCAAGCCTGTGTTGTTCAAAGGTCATCTGTTCATTGTACAAATAGTTTAGTCACAATGAGCCACTCTCTCAGTTCTTTTTTTTTTTTGAGACGGAGTCTCGCTCTGTTGCCCAGGCTGGAGTGCAGTGGCCGGATCTCAGCTCACTGCAAGCTCCGCCTCCTGGGTTTACGCCATTCTCCTGCCTCAGCCTCCCGAGTAGCTGGGACTACGAGCGCCGCCACCTCGCCTGGCTAGTTTTTTGTATTTTTTAGTAGAGACGGGGTTTCACCGTGTTAGCCAGGATGGTCTCGATCTCCTGACCTCGTGATCCGCCCATCTCGGCCTCCCAAAGTGCTGGGATTACAGGCTTGAGCCACCGCGCCCGGCCCACTCTCTCAGTTCTGGTAGGAACCCTCCTGAAATCCAAGTTCCCAAACCCAGCCAAGAGTCAGCCTTGCTGATAGGGTTTTCTAAGTATAATAGCCTCCGGCCTACTGTGTTAAATCTTTTCTGTGCACTCAGTAAATTGAGGTTTATAGTAGAACCTTTCCTTGTTATGTCACAGAATTGTTGTAAACATCAAAGCCAGATGAGGGAGAGCTGGGCGCAGTGGCTCATGCCTGTAATCCCAGCACTTAGGGAGGCCAAGGTGGGAGGATCACTTGAGCCCAGGAGTTCAAGTCCAGCCTGGGCCATATACTGAGACCTTGTCTCTATAAAAAATTTTAAAATGAGCTGGAGCTGAGCATGGTGGCTCATGCCTGTAATCCTAGCACTCAGGGAGGCCAAGGCAGGTGGATTGCTTAAGCTCAGGAATTTGAGACCAGTCTGGGCAACATGGTGAAACTCTGTCTCTACAAAAATTAAAATTAAAAATTAGCCAGGGTCAGGGTGCATGCCTGTGGTCCCAGCTACTTGGGGGGCTGAGGCAGGAGGATTGCTTACACTGGGGAGGTTGAGGCTGCAGTGAGTTGTGTTCATATGGCTGCACTACAGCCTGGGTGACAAAGTGGGACCCTGTGTCAAGAAAAAAAAAATAACAAGGCAAGGCGCAGAGGCTTATGCCTGTGATCCCACCACTTTGGGAGGCGAAGGCAAGTGGATCACGAGGTCAGGAGTTTAAGACCAGCCTGGCCAATGTGGTGAAACCCTGTTTCTACTACAAATACAAAAATTAGCTGAGTGTGGTGGTGCACGCCTGTAGTCCCAGCTACTCGGGAGGCTGAGGCAGAAGAATCGCTTGAACCCAGGGAGGCGGAGGTTGTAGTGAGCCAAGATCATGCCACTGCACTCCAGCCTGGGCGACAGAGCAAGACTCTGTCTCAAAAAAAAAAAAAAAAGGTACTAGGCATGGTAGCATGTGCCTGTAGTCCCCGCTACTCAGGAGGCTGAGATGAGAAGATCGCTGGAGCCTTGGAGGCAGAGGTTACAGTGAGCCATGAGCCATGATCATGCCATTGCACTCCAGCCTGGGCAACAGAGTGAGACCTGTTTCATAAATAAATAAACCAGATGAGGACTTTGAAAGCACTTTTGTTAATGAAGGCTTGAGCACTCATTGTTGATGACAGTTACAGTGTTCTTTGAGTGCCCCTGGTGGATTTTACATTGTGTTCTTTCCTTATTTTTCTCACCTGCTGCTGTTCACAGAGACCCCTTCCCATAATCCGTAACGGCTCTCCTGAGCCCCATCCTTGTGCCTGGTGCCATGTAGGACAGGAAGGATCAGAAATGAATTAGGCTATTGCCCTGAGGCACCTAGGCCAGTTTTTCTGGTCCTGTTGGTGGTGTGACTGGGTTACTTTTCGCTGCCTGTTTCTCCAGCTTCTCCTTTCTAGAGATGAAACCCTGCAGGTGGCCAGTGCTCACTGTATAACTGCGGTGCTTGTCCACTCCCCAGCAAAGCATGCCCCGGCCTTCATCCATGCTGACATCCCAGGTAGGGGAATGCTTCTAACCTTCTCCTCCCTATATTAGAAGGATGGGGTGGTGACAGGTTCAATTGTGTATGACAGACCCTATGAACTATGTCTCATAACATCTGAATCCTATTGCTATAGATTTCTTGTATGACCTTGAGCAATTTGTTACTGATTTTTGTCATTTATTTGGTCACCTATGAATAAAACCCTAATGTGGGGTGGTGGAAAGACCTGTGGACCAGGTAGGCAACAGGAAACAGTATTTTTCAAGGGACTGTTATGAGCAGCGACTGTTATGAGGTACATTGCAAATGTTGCCACATTTAGGTCTTCATCTTCGCTATTTTATAGATAAGGAAATTGAGGATCAGAAAATGAAATAATTGGCAGGCCTAGTCAGTGGCAGAGATGGGATAAAAAGTCAAGCCCCTCTGACTCTTAAAAACTCTTTTCCCTTCATCCACACCACTGCCCATTCTGAGAATTAGGAGACTTAGGTTCCAATCCTACTTCCGCCACTAATAGTGCCTCTTCTCTGGGACTCAGTTTCCCCATCTGTTAAAAAGAAGAGGGAAACCATAACCAAGGGCACTTTCCAGGTTTATTAGTGGATTAATGATCATGACTCATGGGGAGGATATGTGAACAGATGAAGTAGCAAGAGTAAGATGCTGAATAAATCCAAAGCCTTAGCATCAGTTAAGGGATCGTGATCACATGACTGTCATTTATTGTTTTCTCATCCTTTTCCTTGTCAGAGTTCCTCTTTGAGCATCTTTCTTCTTCCAGTGAAATGCTCGTCTCGTCCAGCTACAACTGCTTGACACTCCTGACAGAAGAGCCACTCTTTTTTTCCAAGTGCCACACGGTGTATGGTTGGTAGTAAGGGTCCTGTACTACCTTTGAGTTGGGTAGACAGACAGTTGGGTAGCAGCAAGCCTCCACCTTGGAGGGGAGCACTGAGTCTAGACATTTCATCAGCCCAAACTCATTACCAGATTTCATATGCAAGTATTGATATCCAAATGTTCTGCTGTTCACTGATTATCAGAAGTGTATATGTTTAGACGCTTCAGCAAGAGAAGGACACTTCTCTTAGCCACTAAATGAATTCCTGTTGCATGTTAACAACTCTAAACAGTGTTACTCAACCTTAGATTTAGTTATTTCCCATGCCCCAGATTTCTAACCATCCAGGTAGTCTCTAAGTTTTGCTAATTTATTCTTTCAAAGTTTCTTGAAACTATCCTTCCTTGTCTGGGACTTTTTTTTTTTTTTTTTTTTGAGATGGAGTCTCACCCTGTCACTCAGGCTGGAGTGCAATGGCATGATCTCGACTCACTGCCACCTCCGCCTCCCAGGTTCAAACAATTCTCTTGCCTCAGCCTCCTGAGTAGCTGGGATTACAGGCATGTGCCACCACACTCAGCAAATTTTTTGTATCTTTAGTAGAGATGGGGGTTTTACCATGTTGTCCAATCTGGTCTCGAACTCCTGACCTTGTGATCCACTTACCTTGGCCTCCCAAAGTGCTGGGATTACAGGCATGAGCCACTACGTCGGGCACCTTTTTTTTGTTTTTGAGACCGAGTCCTGCTTTGTTGCCCAGGCTGGAGTGCAATGGCACGATCTCGGCTCACGGCAACCTCTGCCTCCCGGGTTCAAGCAATTATCTTGCCTCAGCCTACCGAGTAGCTGGAATTAGAGGTGACTGCCACCATGCCTGGCTAATGTTTTTGTATTTTTAGTAGAGATGGGGTTTCACCATGTTGACCAGACTGGTCTCGAACTCCTGATCTCAGGTGATCTGCCTGCCTCGGCCTCCCAAAGTGCTGGGATTACAGGTGTGAGCCCGCTGTCTGGGACTTATTATATCACATCTAGATTTTTAGAGTAGGCATATTCAGTCATTCATTTTATATTCCTAGTATAAGCCATGCACCAGGCTGGAACCTGGAAATTTAGAGATAGCAAATAACATTGGTCCTTGCCCTCAGAAAAGGGAGAGACATGCAAAGGGAAATTTCGTTATGAGCTGATTAGAGCTCTGCTAGAGGGAAGCATAGGAGCTGTGGGGTCACAGGGGAGAGTCACAGCTCTGAGTGGATCAGGGAAAGCTTTTTAGAGGAGTGGGGTTTTGACCTGATTCTCCAAGGAGGAACAGGAGTATGCCAAGTGGAGAAAATACATCTTGGTCAGTAGGTGTTCAGTGAAAACCTCAAGTGCCAGGGATTGTGCTATGGCTTGTACTGTGTGTTGGGGAGATGAATCAGATGAGGGCCCAGCCTCAAAGATCTCACAGTCTGGTCCCATGAGCTCAATCTTGTCAGGGTCCCTCTACGAGCGGCCTCCAACTGATACATGCTGTCTGGAGCCTGTAACCTCTCCTGGGTGGGCAGTGAAGGAACAAGAGAGCACTGATCCCTGGCCTCTGTCATGTCATCCTGTGGTAGGGATCGAGGCAGTGGTGAGGAGCCTGCAGGGAAGCCTGGAGATGAACAACACAGAGCTGCACAAGCAGGGCCTGTTACTTTTCACTGAAATCCTGACCCGGTGAGCAAAGTGGTAGAACATGAGGCTTGTAGGGGCCAGACTGCAGAAGGAAAAGTGGGCTTTCATTCCTGGTGGGGTCAGTGATAAGAGTTCACCTACTCATTTCTCATCTACCATTTCTCAGGCAGCCAGAGGAGATCAAGCTGTTCACAAACTCAGCCATGTGCAGAGATGCTGGCCGTGCCCTCCAAGAAGCAGTTAGCAGCCCTGTGCTGGAGGTGGCTGCTGAGGCCGTGAAGGCCACTTCTGCTTTTCTGAGGTGAGAGACCCAGGCAGGCTAAACTTTCCATCCCTGCATGTACCTAAGGGCCTGTCGAGGCCAGGGCAGCTGATGATTACTTATAATACCTAATATAGTTGACTATTCATAATTGTGGATTCCACATCCATGGAATCACCCAACCATGGATTGATTTTTTTTTTTTTTTTTTTTGGAGATGGAGTTTTGCTCTTGTTGCCTAGGCTGGAGTGTAATGGTGCGATCTCAGCTCACTACAATCTGTGCCTCCTGGGTTCAAGTGATTCTCCTGCCTCAGCTTCCCAAGTAGCTGGGATTACAGGTGTGCACCACCATGCCTGGCTAATTTTTGCATTATTGTTAGAGACGGGGTTTCACCATGGTGGCCAGGCTGGTCTCGAATGCGTGACCTCAGGTGATTCACCTGCCTCAACCTCCCAAAGTGCTGGGATTACAGGCGTGAGTCACCGCACCCAGCTGAAAATTTTAAAGAATGGATGGTTGTCTCTGTACTGAACGTGTATAGACTTTTTTTCTTGTTATTATTCCCTAAACAATACAGTACACACTGGGCATGGTGGCTCACACTGGTAATCCCAGCACTTTGGGAGGCCAAGGTGGGTTGGATCACCTGAGCCCAGGAGTTCAAGACCAGCCTGGGCAACATGACAGAACCTGTCTCTACTAAAAATCCAAAAATTAGCCAGGCATGGTGGTGCACACCTATAGTTCCAGCTACTCTAAGCCTGAGGTGGAAGGATTGCTTGAACCTGGGAAGCAGAGGTTGAGGTGAGCTGAGATCACACCACTGCACTCCAGCCTGGGTAACAGAGTGAGACCTTGTCTTAAAAGAAAAAAGAAAAAAAAAAAAAACAAAAGAAACCCGGTCAGGCACAGTGGCATATCCCTGTAATCCCAACACTTTGAGAAGTCAAGGCAGGCAGATCACTGGAGTCAGGAGTTCAAGACCAGCTTGGCCAATGTGGTAAAATCCCTTCTCTACAAAAACTTAGCTGGGCATGTTGGCACATGCCTATAGTCCCAGCTACTCAGGAGGCTGAGGCACGAGAATTGCTGTGGAGGTTGTAGTAAGCCAAGATTGCGCCACTGCACTCTGGCCTGGGTGACAGAGCAAGGCTCTGTCTCACAGGAAAAAAAAAAAAAAAAAGAACACCCAAACAGTATAATGACTATTTATATGGCATTTGCATTGTATTAGGTATTATATGTAATCTAGAGATGATTTAAAGTATACTGGAGGACCGGGTGTGGTGGCTTATGCCTACAATCCCAGTACATCGGGAGGCCGAAGTGGGTGGATCACCTGAAGTCGGGAGTTTGAGACCAGCCTGGCCAACATGTAGTAGAAACCCCGTCTCTACTAAAAATATAAAAAATTAGCCGGACGTGGTGTCACACACCTGTAATCCCAGCTACTCAGGAGGCTGAGCTAGGACAGTTGCTTGAACCTGGGAGGTGGAGGTTGCAGTGAGTGGAGATCGCACCATTATACTCCAGCCTGGGCAACAGAGCGAAATTTCGTCTCAAAAAATAAAATAAAATAAATAAAGTATGCTGGAGGATGTGCATATGTTATATGCAAATACTATACCATTTTATATAAGGAGCTTGAGCATCCTGGTTTTGGCATCTTCAGAGGTCCTAGAACCAATTCCCCACAGATACTGAGGGACAACTATGCAATGTCAATGCAATGTAGACGGGGCATGGTGGCTCACACCTGTAATCCCAGCACTTTGGGAGGCTGAGGCGGGTCAATCACCTGAAATCAGGAGTTTAAGACCAGCCTGGCCAACATGGTGAAACCCTGTCTCTACTAAAAATACAAAAATTAGGTGGGCATGATGGCACATGCCTGTAATCCCAGTTACTCAGGAGGCCGAGGAAGGAGAATTGTCTGAGCCCGGGATGCGGAGGTTTCTGTGATCTGAGATCTTGCCACTGCACTCCAGATTGGGGCCACAGAGTGAGATTCCATCTCAAAAAACAAACAAACAAACAAATTAATGCAATGTAAATAGTTGTCATGCTGTATTTTAAAATTTTTTTGAGACTGAGTTTTGCTGTTGTCCAGGCTGGAGTGCAGTGGCTTGATTTTGGCACACTGCAACTGCCACCTCCCAGGCTCAAGCAAGTCTCCTGCCTCAGCCTCCCAAGTAGCTGGTACTACAGGTGCATGCCACCATGCCCAGCTAATTTTGTATTTTTGTAGAGACGAGGTTTTGCCACGTTGGCCAGGCTGGTCTCGAACTACTGACCTCAGGTGATCCACCTGTGTCGGCCTCCCAAACTGTTGGGATTACAAGCATGATCCACTGTGCCTGGCTTACATTTTATATATTTTTTTATTGTTGTATCGGTTTTTTTTTGTTGTTGTTGTTTTTTTGAGACAGAGTCTCGCTCTGTTGCCCAGGCTGGGGTGCAGTGGCTCAATCTTGGCTCACTACAACCTCTGCCTTCTGGGTTCATGCCATTCTCCTGCCTCAGCCTCTCGAGTAGCTGGGACTACAGGTGTATGCTACCACGCCTGGCTAATTCTTTTGTATTTTTAGTAGAGACGGAGTTTCACTGTGTTAGCCAGGATGGTCTCGATCTCCTGACCTCGTGATCTGCCCACCTCGGCCTCCTAAAGTGCTGGTTTTTGTTTTTTGTTTTTTTGAGACAGTTTTGCTCTTGTTGCCCAGGCTGGAGTGCAATGGCATAATCTCGGCTCACCACAACCTCTGTCTCCTGGGTTCAAGTGATTCTCTCTTGCTGCAGCCTCCTGAATAGCTGGGATTACAGGCATGCGCCACCACACCTGGCTAATTTTGTATTTTTAGTAGAGATAGGGTTTCTCCATGTTGGTCTGGCTGATCTTGAACTGCTGACCTCGGGTGATCTGCCCATCTTGGCCTCCCAAAGTGATGGGATTACAGGCGTGAGCCACTGTGCCCAGCCATATTGTTATTTTTTATAAGTTTTAAAAAATATTTTTGGTCCATAGTTGGTTGAATCCATGGATGCAGAATCCACAATACAGAGGGCCAAATTATACTTCCAAAGTGTTATATTATCATGTCTTTTGTATTTTCTCTGTTGTTTTGAATTTACATCTTGAAAGAAAATTCTGTTTCATTTTGGTAAGGAGTAGCAGAGGTAAATGTATCTGTTGACTCCATCATCTTTAATCAGAAGCTGGCAGCTCTTTAACAACTATGAACTCCAGTCTCTAGCCCTGATTCTCTTACTGTAGTTTCTCTTTGAATGCTCTCAGCCACTCACAGAGCTTCAGCTACTATAGCTATATGTTGATAATGCTCAAATCTATAGTTCATGCCTAAAATGCCTGTATTACTTTCCTATTGCGGCAGGACCAAATTACCACAAAGTTGGTTTAAAACAACAGATATTTACCTTCTCATGGTTCTAGGGGCCAGAAGTCCAAAATCAGTATCACTGAGATGAAATCAAGGTGTCAGCAGGGCCACACTCCCTTTGGAGCCTCTAATAGGGAACCCTTCCCTGCCTCTTCCAGCATCTGGTGGCTGTGGGCATTCCATAACTTATGGTCATATTACTGTAATCACTGCCTCTGTGACCACATTGTCTTCTGTTCGCTTTGTATGTATACTCTCCCTCTGCCTTTCTCTCTTTTCTTAACATTTTTTTTCTTTTTTCTTTTTCTTTTTTTTTTGAAACGGAGTGTTGCTTTGTCTCCCAGGCTGGAGTGCAGTGGCATGATCTCGGCTCTCTGCAAACTCTGCCTTCCAGGTTCACATCATTCTCCCGCCTCAGCCTCCCAAGTAGCTGGGACTACAGGCGCCCGCCACTATCTCTGGCTAATTTTGTTTTTGTATTTTTAGTAGAGATGGGGTTTCACCATGTTAGCCAGGATGGTCTCGATCTCCTGAGCTTGTGATCTGCCTGCCTCCACCTCCCAAAGTGCTGGGATTACAGGCGTGAGCCACCGCACCTGGCCAAAAAATTTTTTCTTATTTTTTGTAGAGATGGGGATCTTGCTATATTCCCCAGACTGGTCTTGAGCTTCAGGCCTCAAGTGACCCTCCGACTTTGACCTCTCAAAGTACTGGGATTGCAGTCATGAGTTATTATGCCTGGCTGCCTCTCTCTTATAAGAATACTTATGATGGCATGTAGGGGACCCCCTGAATAATCCAGGATAACTGCTTTATCTCAAGATTCTCTGTGAAAACTTTACTGTAGAAAATAACATTCATAGGTTCCAGGGATTAGGACCTGACATCTTTGGGTACCACCATTCAGCCCACTATAGTGTTTTCCTGAACTCCAGATGACATTTCCAACTGCCTGGTGCTTTATTCCAGAAACTTCAATCTCAATTTGTCCATGCGACTGGGATATAGATAAAAACACCCAATTTGGGATCTGAAGAATTAGATTTGGGTCCCTGACTCCACAAGCAGTACTCAGTCACTTCTTGCTCATTCCTCTGATCTGCTTTCTGTTTCTTGAACACATCAAACTTATTCCTGCCACTAATTATTCCAACTCTGCCCAAAATAATATTCCCTTAAATCTTTGTGACTGCTTTGTCTTGTCATTCAAGTCTCATTCAGAATTTCCTTTCCTAATTGACCTTATCAGACTGCTATAGCATCTATCAAACATTTGAAAGTTCTTGTTTATTCTTTTTTTGTGACAGAGTCTCGCTCTGTCAGCCAGGCTGGAGTGCAGTGGCACAATCTCCGCTCACTGCAAGCTCCGCCTCCTGGGTTCACGCCATTCTCCTGCCTCAGCCTCCCAAGTAACTGGGACTACAGGCGCCTGCCACCAGGCCTGGCTAATTTTTTTTTTGTATTTTTAGTAGAGACGGGGTTTCACTGTGTTAGCCAGGATGATCTCGATCTCCCGACCTTGTGATCTGCCCACCTCGGCCTCCCAAAGTGCTGGGATTACAGGCGTGAGCCACCACACCCAGCCTCTTTTTTTTTTTTTTTAATCAGAGTCTCACTGTGTCACCCAGGCTGGAGTGCAGT